CTCCAAAACTTCCCAATAGTCAAATTTGACATGGAAAAGCTGCTACGATGCTGAATGGACGTCGAAGGCGCTGTGCATCTCAAATGGATTGCATTATCGAATGTTCTCTCCTTCGAACTGCAATAAAGCTTCGGTCATTTTTTGCGTTTTGCACCATGAGCTCAGAAATGGAAAAAATATGTAGTTCTCTATGCGTAGTTTAAAATAGTCCTCTGTGAGAAGTTTAGAACGATCACTGGTCTTAGTTCAGTTGCTGGTCCCCACGTTGACTACATTACATGATCTGTACTCTCAACTCGATCCACCAATACAATCTCTGGATTCTGCAATTGCCACGTTCACTGAGACCCAGGTTCGTCCACTGTTCGTTCTGACTTTTAAACCACACATGGCAGTTAAGAAGTGCCTTTTAACATTTATGACTGGAAAAGGCGATGAAAGCAGTGCTTTTCATTTTCCACTTCAATTTCAGCTTTTATGGAGTTCATCTTTCGTTTTGGGCCATGTGACCCTCCTGATTGTTTTTCGTAAAGAAAAAGAAAACGGTTTTGAGTTCTGAAGTTCCAATTATGCGAGCTCTCCGCTAGAAATTCACTTCTGATCGGCGCCAACAAAAAGCATTTTCCAAGAAGGGTGGCATTTTCAATTTTCTGCAGCGCACTTAGAGGGCCAAGTTTCCCACAAATCATACCGCTACCATGGTCCCACGCGCTCTTGTTAGTAGCTCTCATTGGTGCTTTTTACAGCTTCGACCGTGCGTGGAGTCTTTCCGTGAGCTTTGTAGATCACATTCGTCAACGATTTTCTCGTCTTTGAGAGCCGCTCAACTGGATCGGATGGCGAACTTTCGAGAAATTCCGGAAGAAAAGCTGCGGATCGCCACTTTATACTACACGTCGATGTTGTATACTCTAGGGATTCCTCGCCTCAAGGCTGCAGGCATGTTTGTTGAAGTTTTTTTTGACAATTTTGAAAGCCATACAAAGTTTTTATGGCATTCGTTTCATACTTACCTACGCATGTATTCATTTTGTTACTCAAATATTTGTTTTGTGATTGCAAGGGTGTTGCCACTGACATCTTCAGAAATTCATGGAGTAAAACACAAGCATGGCGTAATTCTCCACAAATTTCGTGCAGATTTATGGAGAAACTTTTTCGGTGCAATTCAACGACTTCAAATGTTCTTTTCCATACATTTGGAGTTCAACACAAAGCCCATGCCACATACCCTCTGTTTCCGAAAACCAGAATGCGCGTCGAGTGCAGACCACACACCACAAGTGACGACGGCCTCCAAGTAAATCTGGTTACTAGTGGTTCATAGTGATAGCTGATAGTTGGTAAATGATAGTTGTAATTAGTGACAACTGATAGAATACAACTGCAACTAATCATTTCATTGGCAGAAAACATTACATTTTGTGAGGCCGTCGTCACTTGTGGTGTGTGGTCTGCACTTGACGCGCACCTGGTTCTCGGAAGCCGAAGGCTGGTTAGATCAGCCAGAAGTTTCTGCTGTTTGGCACATTGCTGTATTTGACTAATTTCAACAAAAAAGAAGCAGCATTTTCTGAAGAAAAATTTAATATCTCAAAAATTCGAAACTTTGGGTGTGCATAGATTACTTCTTTTGTTTAGCTGTTTTTTGAGGTCATGAAAACCCAAGAAAAATTTATAGCGATTGTCTTCAGGTTTTCTGTACGTGGTTGTCAATAGCGAAGAGACGAACTACTTTTTCAGGGTTTCCGCTTCGAGCTTCAGTGCAAGTTGCCATTCTCGATGACCGATCCGGTGAGAAATCTGCTTGAGTTGGTATACCTGACAGTCGATCAGTTGGTGGCCGATTGCCTATTTGCTGCCGAACCGTCAACGAATGCCATTCTCGTCACGAACAACCTTTTCCCGTTCAACTGTGACAGCTTGGCTCATGCCGTCATATTCAAGCAGTTCGACGTGCAGATCGTTAGCGAGGAGACCGCACAGGCTGTTCAGGTGAGGAATCTTCTCCCGTTCTCCATTCTTTCTTTTCTTTCGGTAACATTCTCTTCTTCCAGCGCTTCTTCCTCTTTCCCCCTCCCCCCCCCCCCCCCCCCCCCCTTCCCCCCCCCCCCCCCCCCCCCCCCCCCCCCCCCCCCCCCCCCCCCCCCCCCCCCCCCCCCCCCCCCCCCCCCCCCCCCCCCCCCCCCCCCCCCCCCCCCCCCCCCCCCCACCCCCCCCCCCCCCCCCCCCCCCCCCCCCCCCCCCCCCCCACCCCCCCCCCCCCCCCCCCCCCCCCCCACCCCCCCCCCCCCCCCCCCCCCCCCCCCCCCCCCCCCCCCCCCCCCCCCCCCCCCCCCCCCCCCCCCCCCCCCCCCCCCCCCCCCCCCCCCCCCCCCCCCCCCCCCCCCCCCCCCCCCCCCCCCCCCCCCCCCCCCCCCCCCCCCCCCCCCCCCCCCCCCCCCCCCCCCCCCCCCCCCCCCCTCCCCCCCCCCCCCCCCCCCCCCCCTTCTCCCCCCTTTCTTTTTACTTTCTCTTTTATCTCAATGATTCTTTCAGATCCAAATGAACAAAGTCCGTGAAGGGTCGTTCTCACCGCACATACCGGGCAGCTTTCCGTCGGCAGCATTGCTAGCCATGAAACCAACTAGTGGTGTTAAGCGAAATAATGCCACAGCTAATGCTGGTTAGTCAACTAAGCCGAAAGTAGATTTATAGTTGGGAAGTTTTTATGTACGTGTTGTAGTAGTAAAATAAAGCTGTCTACTGATTTCAAGGATATTTGCAAAATATTTTCATAATTTTCTTTTACAGAAGGCGGCAATACGGCCCATAAGAAATCGGATGTGAACAGTAAAGAATCGGTGATGTTGATGCCATCGTTCAGCGATAAGCTCAACAGTTGGCAGGCTACCTATCCGCATCTGCTTTGCACAACGAGGCAAAAGGTAACATCGCCATTCGAAAGTAGGTCTTGTCCCGCAACCTGAGTATGTTGAAGTATTAAATTAATAAGAGCTATGAATGCTTAAAGGAAGGACGCGTAAAACTTTTGACGTTGATCAATCCTTTTTGGATGCGCCATGCATTCTATTTCCATTCAGAATGTGAAATTTACATTACATACTTAGACAATTATTCTTATTATTCTTTCTGATTGATTGATTTATTTATTACATGAGTAAATGCATCACGTTAGACATAAAGCAAAAAACATAAAAAAGCCCTGAAGAGTAAGAATTTATCGAGATCTCCAGATCCTCTGAAACGATCTGAAACGACTGATTTAGTGGGGGTAAAACTCGAAGTGCACACTTGAAAAGGATAAAGGATAAAGGATAAAGCATTTGCCGTTGATCAATCCCTTTTTGGGATGCGGCACGCATTCTACTTCCATTTGTACATTAGTGGCGTTTGAATGCGATGTGGCCTATACAATGACTTGCGGGGGCCAGCCGATGTACAAGTCAGTGTTTTTATCCTCCCAGACAAGTCTGGTACCAATTAACCGACCCCGGAGGGATGGAAGGCTTGGTTGGCCCGGGCGACTCACGACCCAGGATTTGATCCCCGGACCGCTCGCGTGGTAAGCGTGCCACTTGCCACTACACCACTTCCGCCCTTTTTTCAAGTGCTTCCAGCAGATTCCTCGTTACAACTACTGCTCAACATAGATGGCATGATTTCTTAACACTCGTAACGTTTACTATTCAAAAAGGCCAGACACAAAAATGACGATATTCGTTGCAAATTGCTTCATTTTTCTGGTTTAGGATACCGTACTTCTTGATAATCGAGCAGGACAAGTGGGGAAACGGCCAGTGTTCTATTTCTACATTCGTGCCACAACCTTTTCGCCTTCAGGAGGTCTCTCTTATGTACGATCGCTTTCACTGCCGTTCACTATCGCTACGCGACGAAATCAGGTCAGTCGTTTTTTTGCTGCGGTCATGCATGATGGAAAGCTTTAGCCAACCCTTCGGGGAGGGGAGGGGGGGGGG